GATAATTTTGATATCATATTTTTGATTTATTTCCATCATTTTTGTTATATGTAAACAGGGACAACTGTCATTGTGTAAATGTCACCCCTCTGCAAAAAGTTCCGATTTTTTTCAAGGAAGATAACTCTTACCCGGATCGAAGTGATTGTAAAATGTAAAATAAATTAATTATAAAGCCATTGTGTATATTTTGTTCAATTTCCCATTCTATATGTATAGATCTTTGTGTCCTGTTGGCTTTTAGCTTGTAGATAATCACTTTTATCCGTTCAAATTCAATAAAAAACACTTTGTGTAACATGTGTTACATATTTTGCGATAAATAAAATATTTGTAGGGTTAATTAGAAATGCTTCTTTTCATTTTATTATTGTTGTTATTGTTCCGAACAATGTCACACCCAAAAAAAACCCGGAAAATATTAAAATTGACGAAAATTCAATTTTTTGGTATTTTTTCCAAAAAAGTCCCCTAACTATCGGAGTGTTTAGATTTTCATAAAATCATCTCTACATAGTTGCATAACCATTATATGAAAGTATCAACGAATTTCGCTGGTTAATTACGAAAGTGTGGAGCCACCTTAAGCACCAATAATATTGATAGCATACACATGTAGAAAAAAGGGGGTTTTCAATTATTTGTGTTCCCTACATATTTTAGTAAATGTTTTAGTATGTATTATTTTTCACTAAATTTGGATAGATAATATGGAGGTCAATCCAAATTTACTATTTCCACTACAATCTGTGTACATCATTTTTTAACTCATTCTCCTTCCTGTTATTTTTTTCTTTGAATATATTTTGGGGAATTGAAGAAAGATCTCCATATCGACCTCCTCTGAAATTGACAGCTGAGCCTCTGAGTTTTTTTTACCAAGATGAGGACAGTCTAGGAATTGGTACTTCTCGGGAGGTCTCTTTTGGACATTTTTATTTGGACTTGGGACTTAAGAGTTTTGTGATCTTGGGACATCATTTCTACAGTATCTCCCTTACTCAGGTTTCCATGTGTCTAGGTCATCCGTTACCACAATAAGTTACAAACATAAACCAATAAATAGATTTTATTTTCATTTTTTATTTTTTGACTGAAAAAACTGAAGAATACTTGTTTTTCCTGCATTGGGTTTGTGTTTAGTGTTAGGCAGTCTCCCTTGTGACACTGCTGTAGAGATTTGCTTCTTGTCAGGTAGTGCCCCTTGTGATTCTGGGGACATCTTAGGGACCCGAGACCACTGACAAAGGTACTCCATCTGTATATCTGAGGGCAAGTTTGAAAATACCTCTTTGTCAACGTGAGGTGGTATCTGGTACGTTTGGTTAGCAGAATGATTACTGTCGCAGTCGTCAATATGACTGTCCCCACCACGTGTTTCCTCACATACACCGGTCACATTATCATCAACACTGTTTAATTTTAGGTTCAATATATCACCGCTTTGTTTCTTTGTGGTATTAACAACAGACACTGTTTTAGTTGGCCTTTCAGACATTGATGGCTGACCACTGCCGGTATGAGTATGTAATTTGTTATCAGAAGGCAAACGTGTACTCATAGATTGTTTAAATGGAAAATCTTCCGATCTGTCACCTGTTGGCTCAATTCCTCCACAGTCAGAAGGACTAGAACTTTCCTTGACAGAAGCTGTGTGAAGTATTGTCCTCGAGTCTTTCCTCTGTCCCCCTCTACCCTCAGGATAATCACTCCTGACATGACTTGTAGAACAGTTGTTGTCCGTGTCGTTGACTGAATTCAGCTCTTCATATCCACTACTTTTTTCAGTTTGTGTTGAATACATTTGACCTTTTCTTGATTCTTCCTCTTGTAAGATTTCTCTTTGAATATCTCTTGGAAGTTGAAGAAAAATCTCCATATCTACATCCTTTGGGATTGAGAGCCGAGCCTCTGAGCATTTCCTACCAGTATAGGAACAAGCTATTTCCTCGGGACTTCTTGCTGAACTACTCCATCTAATGTTTCTACCTAAACTTGTCTTTTTGTTACGTGAATGTTTGTCTTCTATGGCTTCCTCTGCTTTTCTCTTTTGACAAGACAATGTTTTAAGCTCACTGGAATCTTTCTTCACACTCTCTACTATCTTCCGACTTTCTCCATTATCATTTTTCCTAGCATCTCCAATGCCAGGTGACATTCCCGAGTGCCCTGGAACCACCAAACAACCTTGAGGTGACCTTGACACATTTGTTGACCTAGCTTCACAGTTATCAGGGAAATCCTCTGGGCTATTATTTATGAGTTTTTCTGGAGATTTAATTACCCATTTTTGCAGACTGTTTTGTTGTTTTCCTCTGTCTGGAGTTGGGACTGACTTTTGACCCACATGAGAATCTCCCGGAGGATGTCCATGATCCACACCGTGTCTCGGGCTTCTGACAGTAAAGAAAGAGCTAATGGCATTTTTGGATTTTTCTACCAAACTACAGAATGCAATATTCATAAGGGTAAGATGGAATGGCTCCTTAGTATCAACAAGCTTAGTAAAAAGTGTCATGGCGATCTCCTCCAGCTGGTCGGTCAGCCTCTCAAGTTTGCCTGGGGGGAGGGAAAGAGAGAAAATTCAGTATGAAATTTTTGTTTTCTTTTTCACCCATACAAGTATTTTTGTAATTAACAAAGTCTGACCTGGTCTTAACACTATTTTGTAACAAGTCAGACGGCAAACCCTATGGTTCCACTTCACTCTTTGTCTCAGAACTCTTTGGAGAATATGGTCATGGCTTTAACCTAAACATGTGTCCTTAACATTAGGATCTGAAAGTCAAACATGATATGATTTTTGATGACCAGGTAACTCAGTTAGCATTTGTATAAAATTTGGAGGTCTTGTCATTGGGATTTTTTTCTTTCTTTTACATTTGATGTTGGTTTGGTCAAATGTAGCAAATCAAATCTATGCATACATTAGTTCATTAAGTGAACTATCAATCAAAATTTGTGTACTAAAAATAATTTTCTGTCGTATCTGTTCCTGTGAGTAGTACTTACCAGAGGACAAACATGACATAATGTGACCAGGGATTGGACACTGACGACTCTCACGGCTGGTCCACTTTTTATCGGCTGTGGTGAGTTTCCGAATGGTCAGTCTCAGTGTCTGGGGAGTCCGGCCATCATCTAGTAATCTGTAATATAATACCACAACTGTAGGCTGTAGTCTATATACCCCTACCCATGCCTTCTTAGGGTTGACGTTAAGTTACAATTTAGCTGATATCCCCTACACTTCCTTCAGATGAACATTAAGCTGTAATAAGCTAAATACTGATACCCCTATATATGCCTCCTTATAGTTAATATCCAGCTCTAATGAACTCTAAGTGCTTTTGTACAAAATTATTAATACCAGTATGTGTGGCAAGAGAAAACATCCCCAGGTTGCCATTAGGAATATTATGATACCTGTTGCAGTATTCCATCTTTTCGTATTGCAGAGTTATCTGCTCTTGTGAGCAGGTATTGATTGTTATGTCATTAGTTTGTGTGCGAAAATTACGTTGTTTTCTCAAAAACGTTACTCTCACAAACAAATAACGTAACAATCAATACCTGCTCACAAGAGCAGATAACTCTGCAAAACGAAAAGACGGAATATGGCCATGATTAAAAAACCTCTGAGGACGTGTTTTTTTAATTCTGTTTTTTGTGTGTGTCATATTTACTTTAAGTAAATAATATATTCTATTGATGTGTTTTAGCAAGTGTCGACCTGGTTTCAATAAAATTTCGACACTGTGTTTCCTCTGAGAACCAGAAATACAGAAAACAAAACTTGTATTATACTACTGAATTTGTAACATTTGTCGTATATTGTTTTTATATATTTTGCATACTGGTATATTGTATTGACTCTACCATACCAAGATATTCTGGTATACTGGTAATATTGCACATCCTAGTTGACATAATCCAAAATATCAAGGAAATCAGTTCTTAAATGGAGAAATGCCTAATATCTAGTAAATCTACATAACTCGATCGTATTCAATATGTCATATTAATATAGATGGAGAGGTTGAGCGGGTAAAGGGACATAACTTCTATAATATGTATTGAAAACAAAAAGATTACAGTATATCTCTCCCTCCAACTTCTGTCAACACTGTTTGTCTGCTATCTCATATACTCTACCTTTTAATCAGGCTACAAAGGAATTCCTTGACCTTTGACCTCACATCTTTTACAGTAGAACACTTTTTGAAGGAGTCTTCATCGCTGATAGTCTTTAACATACAAAACAATTAAAATCAATATTGTAACACACATACAAAACAAGTTCAATATTGTAACACACATATAAAACAAGTTCAATATTGTAACACACATACAAAACAAGTTCAATATTGTTACACACATACTAAACAAGTTCAATATTGTAACACTCATACAAAACAAGTTCAATATTGTAACACTCATACAAAACAAGCTCAATATTGTAACACACATACAAAACAAACTCAATATTGTTACACACATAAAAAACAAGCTCAATATTGTAACACTCATACAAAACAAGCTCAATATTGTTACACACATACAAAAACACCTCAATATTGTAACACACATACTAAACAAGTTCAATATTGTAACACACATACAAAACAAACTCAATATTGTAACACACATACAAAACAAACTCAATATTGTTACACACATACAAAACAAGCTCAATATTGTAACACACATACAAAACAAGCTCAATATTGTTACACACATACAAAACAAGCTCAATATTGTAACACACATACAAAACAAGCTCAATATTGTTACACACATACAAAACAAACTCAATATTGTTACACACATAAAAAACAAACTCAATATTGTAATACACATAAAAAACCAGCTCAATATTGTAACACTCATACAAAACAAGTCCAATATTGTTACACACATACAAAACAAGCTCAATATTGTTACACACATACAAAACAAACTCAATATTGTTACACACATACAAAACAAACTCAATATTGTTACACACATACAAAACAAACTCAATATTGTAACACACATACAAAACAAACTCAATATTGTAACACACATAAAAAACCAGCTCAATATTGTAACACACATACAAAACAAGCTCAATATTGTAATACACATACAAAACAAACTCCATATTGTTACACACATACAAAACAAACTCAATATTGTTACACACATACAAAACAAGCTCAATATTGTTACACACATACAAAACAAACTCAATATTGTAACACACATACAAAACAAGCTCAATATTGTAACACTCATACAAAACGAACTCAATATTGTAACACTCATACAAAACAAGTTCAATATTGTTACACACATACAAAACAAACTCAATATTGTAATACACATACAAAATAAGCTCAATATTGTTACAAACATACAAAACAAATTCTATATTGTAACACACATACAAAACAAACTCAATATTGTCATACACATACAAAATAAGCTCAATATTGTTACAAACATACAAAACAAATTTAAAATTGTTACACACATACAAAACAAACTCAATATTGTAACACACATACAAAACAAGCTCAATATTGTAACACACATATAAAACAAGCTCAATATTGTTACACTCATACAAAACAAGCTCAATATTGTTACACACATACAAAACAAGCTCAATATTGTAACACTCATACAAAACAAGTTCAATATTGTAACACACATATAAAACAAGCTCAATATTGTAACACACATACAAAACAAGCTCAATATTGTTACAAACATACAAAACAAGTTTAATATTGTTACACACATACAAAACAAGCTCAATATTGTAACACACATACAAAACAAGTTCAATATTGTTACAAACATACAAAACAAGCTCAATATTGAAACACACATACAATACAAGTTTAATATTGTTACACACATACAAAACAAGCTCAATATTGTTACACACATACCAAAAAAGCTCAATATTGTAACACACATACAAAACAAGCTCAATATTGTAACACTCATACAAAACAAGTTCAATATTGTTACAAACATACAAAACAAGCTCAATATTGTTACACACATACAAAACAAACTCAATATTGTAACACACATCGAAACAAACTCAATATTGTTACACACATACAAAACAAACTCAATATTGTAACACATACAAAACAAGCTCAATATTGTAACACTCATACAAAACAACGTGTTGAAAACAAGTACATATACCCGTGGACACTGTACATATACCCGTGGACACTGTACATACACCCGTGGACACTGTACATATACCCGTGGACACTGTACATACACCTGTGGACACTGTACATACACCCGTGGACACTGTACATACACCCGTGGACACTACATATCCCCGTGGACACTACATACCCCCGTGACACTGTACATACACCCGTGGACACTACATATTCCCGTGGACACTACATACCCCCGTGGACACTACATACACCCGTGGACACTGTACATACACCGGTGGACACTACATACACCCGTGGACACTGTACATACACCCGTGGGCACTACATATACCCGTGGACATTGTACATACACCCGTGGACACTGTACATATACCTGTGGACACTGTACATACACCTGTGGACACTGTACATATACCTGTGGACATTGTACATACACCCGTGGACACTGTACATACACCCGGGGGCACTACATATACCCGTGGACACTGTACATACACCTGTGGACACTGTACATACACCTGTGGACACTGTACATACACCCGTGGACACTGTACATACACCCGGGGGCACTACATATACCCGTGGACACTGTACATACACCTGTGGACACTGTACATATACCTGTGGACATTGTACATACACACGTAGACACTGTACATACACCCGTGGACACTACATACCCCCGTGGACACTACATATACCCGTGGACACTGTACATACACCCGTGGACACTACATATACCCGTGGACACTACATATACCCATGGACACTGTACATACACCCGTGGACACTTCATATACCCGTGGACACTACATACACCCGTGACACTGTACATACACCCGTGGACACTCCATATACCCGTGGACACTACATACACCCGTGCCACTGTACATACACCCGTGGAAACTACATATACCCGTGGACACTACATACACCCGTGGACACTGTACATACACCCGTGGACACTACATATACCCGTGGACACTACATACACCCGTGGACATTACATACACCCATGGACACTGTACATACACCCGTGGACACTACATACACCCATACACTGTACCTGTGGTCTGCCAAATGTCACAACAGGGCTGTCATCTACTCCAAAGCTCAGCTGTTGAATAACAACAGCCTGTTTTGGTTCTAACTCCTGTTTGAGGTCAGAAATATCAAACTGCTGAAGATCCTGGAGCAACACAATTCCTAAAGCTGCCAGCTTCTTTGATGTTGTTGAACCAATTCCTGAAAATCAATGGAAATGCCATTATTTCTCCCCGGTGTTGCCTGTACCTTTGATGGACCATGTCCAAAGGTAATATACATACTCACATGATTAAGCAGAGAAAGCATTGTGTGCCTGCTTGTCTGTACAGACCTGATAGTTTTAGTTTCCCGTAGTATCCAGTGCAGCTGTAGGCAAAAGATTTCTAAACGGAAATGACTGAATTCCTGAAAATGTGCAATGTAGCACATCTTCAAAACTCATTACGTGTATCAACTTCAAAGTCTTACTGTACCTGGTATTCGTCTGACCTGGCCCACGGTCGCCATGAATTGTGCCGTCTGCTCAGGAAACAGTGTCGTCTGCTGGTTAGGCTTGTGTTTTCCTGCCACAAGTTTGGACAGGAGTTTATTATAGGAAATACCAGCACAGCAGGTGATGTTTATCTCCTGGTGTAGGGCATCACGGATATCTGCAGCAATCTGAGATCCAACGGTCAGTCGCTCATGGCATCCACAGGTACATGTCGCCAGACGATCTTTACCACCTGTAGCAGTCACCAGCACAGGTATTATAATAGGGGTAGGCAATAATATTGCAATATGATTCTGTAATGACACTATATTGCATTAATTCGTCAAATAATATTTGACAGTAAAGAAATAGTACTACAGAAATAACTCAAAATAACCCCAACCTTCCCCCCTGCTCTACACCTGACCTTTTACCCTTTAATAATTATTTTCCTTTGACCTTTAACCCTTGAACCCTTTAACCTTGACTGATGACCACCAAAATCTCATCAGGTTAGTGTTTTTTCACTACAGACGGACACTTTGCCTGTGTCCTTTAACCTTGACCGATGACCAGTAAAAATATAACCAGGTGTAGAACTTGATATGATCATACTATGGTGCATATATAAACTGAATGTGTTCTGGGGTTCATTAAATATCTTGTACACAAGCTCGTCACTCACATGAACACACAGATGCACACATGGATGAACGCAATGACAAAGCAATTTCTACAACTCCCTTCACTAAGTGGAGGTATAAACACACTAATAAACACTGGTTTCAAACGTCAGTGAGACGAAACCTGCACGGGTGGAATCATGTAGGCGAAAAAACCGTCAACCAACCAACCAACTGGTTTCAGGGTTCAAAATAACTCTTTGCAAAATGAGAGATACAGAATTGGATGCAAGATGCAAGTTAAAAATACAGTTGGTTTGAAAATATGTGTGAGTAACTTTTTCCCCATCTTTTTTGACAACTTCCACTGTCGTCAGTAAGTTCATTTTGTCAGATGTAGCACCAGTTTTACTGACGATGATAGGAGATGTATGCTGAAATCCTTTAGGTTTTATACTGACAATAACGTACAGTAAAAGGGGGGGGGGGGGGNAGCCCACTGCTAGCACTGTAGTGTAGCACTGTAGTGAATTGTAGGCACAGTATTCTAGTTGTAGGACGCTGGGCTCGTGACCGAAGGGTTGGGGGTTTGAGTCATGGCACGGCACTGTGTTGTATCTTTGAGCAAGGTACTTTACTCCACTTGTTCCAGTCTACTCAGCTGTAAATGAGTACTTGGTTGGGCAGCGCTAGAATTGTTGAATGCTAGCTGTTAGCGCCGAAATGGCAGCTCCGGCTGTATGCTCCCCAGGGAGTTGAGAAAGATATTGGCTGGTTGCAAAGGCCCTATAACCACGGATAATAATTTGTGAATGGTTTTGAGATGACCTACGAACTAGGTTGTGATAAAGCGGTACATAAGAACCTTGAATTATTATTATTATTGTCCCCTCCAGGCTAACCAACTTCATGAACATGACTGGCCCATGTATACGTACTGTAGCGAAAATATTCAGCTATGGACCTACATTGAAAGCTTCAGTGCATAGTATTCCTAGTCTCTGACAGGATAATTGGCCTAGCTAATGACATTTAATAGCAAACTTAGGCTGACTATTATCTTCCTCTTCAAACACAGTAACAATATCATCTAGGTGCTTCAAACACAGTAACAATATCATCTAGGTGCTTCAAACACACAAGTAACCGTGAGCCTAACAGCTTTACAAAATACACACAGGTATTCTGATGAACCAATTTGTAGGCCAACTTTTCAGGTACTGGTTTAGACAACTGTTCAAAATTACATGTATAAGGTGACAGTTCATGAACTTATCACTGGGATTGTCTGGACATGTGGAGCTGAAACTGAACACATCCTGAGGCTGAATATAGAGTGAAACATGATCATTGTTAGCTTTTCTAAATGACAAATCCTCCTGATATGGTCAGGTACTTAAACAACAGATGTTTGTGATGAATTTCATTTATATATAAATATTTTCAAAAACGTAATTTCTACTATTTTTTAATTAAACAAAATAAATTGTCAGCTTTATAGTAGTTTGAGACCTATTGCGATAGCATTGTACCGGTAAGTAAATGTATGAATTCAAATATGAACAAGATTGGTCATTCTGTATATTAAGTGTATATATTTCTATTGATTTACAGTATGCTTTTCGTAACAAAAACACTGCTATAAATTTTAGGTATTTTAGGCACTCACAATAGTTTGCTGGTGATGAGAAAAGATTAATTCGACCCCTTGGATACTTACCAAATATATCACCATACTTTTGTCACTACTGTCAAATGAATACTGGCTGGCTATATAACTATACCCTTATAACTACTGTCAAATAGATACAGGCTGGCTGTATAACTATACTGTTATAACTATACCGTTACAACTACTGTCAAATAAATACAGGATACGGTACCTATCAGATGGCCATTGACTTACATAAAGTATCTCAATGCAATGATTCAGGGCCTTAATGGAATTCTTAACTGTGAAAACCAGAAGATTCATTTGCAATCCTTTTTTGAAAAATTGCCTCAATAATACCTGTTCATGTGAAATTTCAAAATCTTTTTAACAAGTTCCAACCATTTTTCGACATCTGAGTAAAAAGGTCATTTTTACCACAAGTAAAGATCATACATACATTTATCTTCTCTTACAATGCTGTCCTCGTTTTCAAACTTGTACTCATGACCTATGACATCTGACCTAGTGTCACCAGATTCCAGCCTCTGTTTGGCAAGGTGCGACACATCCAGGAAGTTCTCGTCCATTCCAAGTCTCTCTACATGAGGTGTGTACTGCTGCAAGAACTCTGCAAAACACAACATAACCATAAGTCAAATGACACCTATTGACACAATCATTACAGCACAATACTGCTAAACGCTTTAAAACCTTATGACTCGGCAACCGCTCATAATTTGTTTTCCCTTTGATTGTATACTTCTACAATTAAAAAGAAAAATGCAACATCTCTGGAGGGCAAATAACAAAAATTTGGAACAACATTTATAATCATGCTGTACCACTATAAACATATTCCCATTGTTAAATAGGAAAAATTACCTCACAAGACCTAATGTCCACTCAATACACTATAACAACAGGTCAAAATACCTATACTCTATCACAGCCCAAGAATATTTTGATCTGATCTTGACCTTACTTGATATCCCTGTAGGAGTTGACCTTGACATTACTCAACACTGCTATCAAAGTTGACCTTGACCTTATCTGATATCCTGTAGTAAATGACCTTGACCTTACCTGATATTTTATAGGAGACCTGCCTGTAGTGTGTGAGGTCCTCTCCACTGACCAGTACTAAGTTGGGGCACCTGTCCAAAGCCTCCTTGACCCCCATAAGTTTGGTCACTCCGTACTCTCGGGCCACATAGTTACAAGTTACCACCAGGTACTTCTGCTGGACACCTGACCACAAAAATTACAGGTCAGATGAAAACATTACAGCTCATAGGAAATTAAGAATCACCAAGAAGTTTATAACAAACCAGCATCCTCTACAACCGTGGTAGATCCAGGTGAAGCGTCCCTCAGCACCTTTGTTTACTAAACATCCTCTTCAACCGTGGTGGATCCAGGTGAAGCACCCCTCAGTACCTTTGTTTACTAAGCATCCTCTACAACCGTGGTGGATTCAGGTGAAGCATCCCTCAGTACCTTTGTTTACTATACATCCTCTACAACCGTGGTGGATCAGGTGGAGCGTCCCTCAGTACCGTTGTTTACTAAACATCCTCTACAACAGTGGTAGATCCAGGTGAAGCATCCCTCAGTTCCTTTGTTTACTAAACATCCTCTTCAACCGTGGTGGATCCAGGTGAAGCACCCCTCAGTACCTTTGTTTACTAAGCATCCTCTACAACCGTGGTGGATCCGGGTGAAGCATCCCTCAGTACCTTTGTTCACTAAACATCCTCTACAACCGTGGAGGATCCAGGTGAAGCATCCCTCAGCACCTTTGTTTACTAAACATCCTCCACAACCGTGGTGGATCCAGGTGAGGCATCCCTCAGTACCTTTGTTTACTATACATCCTCTACAACCGTGGTGGACCCAGGTGGGCATCCCTCAGTACCTTTGTTTACTGAACATCCTCTACAACCGTGGTGGACCCAGGTGGGCATCCCTCAGTACCTTTGTTTACTATACATCCTCTACAACCGTGGTGGACCCAGGTGGGCATCCCTCAGTACCTTTGTTTACTTAACTTCCTCTACAACAGTGGTGGATCACGTGGGCATCCCTCAGTACCTTTGTTTACTTAACTTCCTCTACAACAGTGGTGGATCACGGGGGCATCCCTCAGTACCTTTGTTTACTGAACATCCTCTACAACCGTGGTGGATCAAGTGGGGCGTCCCTCAGTACCTTTGTTTACTCAACATCCTCTACAACCGTGGTGGATCCAGGTGAAGCGTCCCTCAGTACCCTTGTTTACTAAACATCCTCTACATCCGTGGTGGATCCGGGGGAGCATCCCTCAGTACCTTTGTTTACTTAACTTCCTCTACAACAGTGGTGGATCACGGGGGCATCCCTCAGTACCTTTGTTTACTGAACATCCTCTACAACCGTGGTGGACCCAGGTGGGCATCCCTCAGTACCTTTGTTTACTTAACATCCTCTACAACAGTGGTGGATCACGTGGGCATCCCTCAGTACCTTTGTTTACTAAACATCCTCTACAACCGTGGTAGATCCAGGTGAAGCATCCCTCAGTACCTTTGTTTACTAAACATCCTCTACAACCGTGGTAGATCCAGGTGAAGCATCCCTCAGTACCTTTGTTTACTAAACATCCTCTACAACCGTGGTAGATCCAGGTGAAGCATCCCTCAGTACCTTTGTTTACTAAACATCCTCTACAACCGTGGTAGATCCAGGTGAAGCGTCCCTCAGTACCTTTGTTTACTAAACATCCTCTACAACCGTGGTAGATCCAGGTGAAGCGTCCCTCAGTACCTTTGTTTACTAAACATCCTCTACAACCGTGGTAGATCCAGGTGAAGCGTCCCTCAGTACCTTTGTTTACTAAACATCCTCTACAACCGTGGTAGATCCAGGTGAAGCGTCCCTCAGTACCTTTGTTTACTAAACATCCTCTACAACCGTGGTAGATCCAGGTGAAGCGTCCCTCAGTACCTTTGTTTACTAAACATCCTCTACAACCGTGGTAGATCCAGGTGAAGCGTCCCTCAGTACCTTTGTTTACTAAACATCCTCTACAACCGTGGTAGATCCAGGTGAAGCGTCCCTCAGTACCTTTGTTTACTAAACATCCTCTACAACCGTGGTAGATCCAGGTGAAGCGTCCCTCAGTACCTTTGTTTACTAAACATCCTCTACAACCGTGGTAGATCCAGGTGAAGCGTCCCTCAGTACCTTTGTTTACTAAACATCCTCTACAACCGTGGTAGATCCAGGTGAAGCGTCCCTCAGTACCTTTGTTTACTAAACATCCTCTACAACCGTGGTAGATCCAGGTGAAGCGTCCCTCAGTACCTTTGTTTACTAAACATCCTCTACAACCGTGGTAGATCCAGGTGAAGCGTCCCTCAGTACCTTTGTTTACTAAACATCCTCTACAACCGTGGTAGATCCAGGTGAAGCGTCCCTCAGTACCTTTGTTTACTAAACATCCTCTACAACCGTGGTAGATCCAGGTGAAGCGTCCCTCAGTACCTTTGTTTACTAAACATCCTCTACAACCGTGGTGGATCCAGGTGGGCATCCCTCAGTACCTTTGTTTACTATTAAAAGTGATAATATGAGACTGACTGTTGTGTTTATAGGTCATGGTCTAGAGGCCTTCCTACCACCTGGTAAGGTTCACAACTACCTACTCTTGGGTTCCTTAACAAATCATTTTTTTAGTTAGTTTTCATGTTAATTTCATCAGAGAAAGTGAATTTAAAGTACAAATTTTGATAAAGGTTTTGGAAAGTCTTCAAAACTTGAGCAATTCCTGCTTCTGGTTTTGTTTTGGGGAAGAAAAAAAAATCATGCTATTACAATGTACACAAAGTGTGATATTGTAAACAACATCATCACATGATGGTCATTGGTCAGGAAACTTTACTGATCATCAAAAGATTATAATACAGAGTCACACACTGTAGAACTGAAATACAGCGTCACACACTGTAGAACTGAGCATTGCCAAAGTTAGTAATCTGAGAAATCAGAAAAAAAGTGTGGAAAAATACTTAAAGGAAAAGACAAAGATGCAAAACATTGCCCTGTGTGACACAAATCAGTTTTGTTTTGTTCCTTGGCTCCTTATACTGGTTTATCATCAGAGAACAAAGAAGGAAGTCCAGATCCTACAGAGTAAGCCCACCAACCCACATCAGTCACCTCAATTGATCCTGATCCTGGGTAAAATTGTAGATAAATGAAGCGTTGCTAGTTGTAATGTCAGTCCATCATAGCAACCTTTGTTTGTGCTGTTACTAGGGGCAGATTAGACTATAAAATGACTTTTAAATGTTATCTGTTTATGACATGCTCACTACTGTACTAGTGTACTTATAACCTGAAATGAGAGTTGTACTGATTCAAGGTTGATGTATGTTTATAGATCACCTATACTTACCTAATGGCTTGTCTCGTAATTTTGGGTTCCTCATCATTTCTACCTGAGCATAGAAGCAGTCGATATCAATGTGGATGATGGTCCTTGTATGACCCAGTGTGGAGATCATACATGAATCAGCTGCAAATTTCAAATAAGAAGACACATTTTATACATTGTTGTAATGTTGTGTTTATAAATCACAGCATCGGTACAGGTCAAATATCACTAGGCTCTCATGTAACATAGGCGATTAGTTTTCAATAGTAATAACCTTGATCTCAACATTTTAGTGGTTGAAAATACGAAAATACAACCCTTATTGTTAAAAGTTTGGAACAAGTTATTGAAACGTTTTGAAACCTGTGACCTTGAATGAAACCCAAGTTCACTTATTTCTAGAAATAATTTTTGATAGACCTTACTGTGTACCACTACCTTCCATTTCTACTGTTTAAAATCTGTTTCATGACACTTTAGAAAATGTATAGCTGTCCCCTGTAGCTGTGTCGATGAATGTATGTCAACTTGTCAAGGTCATTTATTTGAACACCATTTACATCTCTCTATATCCAATGCATGCAACTCCCTATAGCTACTGATCTGATGGTCAAATACAATTAATGACTCTCAGCCTTCATGGTTCTTTAGAATAATTTGTCTGAAGATTCCTTGATAGGATTTGGATGACTGTTTAAATACCTATATCCACAGGGGTTCGTAACAAATGTCTGAAATACACATATGTGACAGGAAAGAGAAAAGTGACACTGCTTCCTACAGGGATCGAACTGGGGATCGAACCAGTGATCCGCCTGGTTCATAGTTGGACGCTCTACCACTGAGCTGAAGGGAAATTCCCTCTAGCTTGAAGCTAGAAGGCGACCGTAATCCTATGTACAATTCAAATCTGCCACACATATATGCCATACTGATATTGGTCACAGCACATGCCATGGTATGTTAATGTGTGCTGTGACCCATATCAGTATAGTATATGTGTATTTCAGACATTTGTTATTAACCCCTGTGCATGAACAGTAGATCATTCCATCTTGCATATGTCACCTTAACTCATTCACCCCTGAAATTTCATGATGAACTATACCAAACTTTGAATTGGAAGAGTTCAAATGTGTCTTTAGGGGTGAATGAGTTAATTATTATCAGGCTAATAAATGTATATAGGTACTGGTATTGACATGTCTGAAGAAGACGATTTTAGGATCTCGGATCAAACGAACATAGATCACACATACCTGAGTTAGATGAAAGTCTGTGTTGTTGTTTTCTGTTTCTACGGTCCTGAGTGTCGGTCATACATGCACTTCCTTGACATCCGATATCAATACTGGTATTAGACGGCGAGCTATCGCCATTGAAAGGCAGGCTCCAGCTTTCGTCTTCATTGTCCTCGAATTCCATTCCATGTTCGTCCATGACAGTTCATCAGAGTCAAGAAGAAAAATACTAATAAATCAGTAAAACTGTTCTTGAGCTATCTACTGAAATATTTTTCTTCCTTTCCCCAGGTAATGAGTAGGAAACGATCTACATGTACATCTGTTTACAAGATCATTTCCCGCCATCTTGATTTCACTAAAAACGGCACCTCCTAATGTCAGGAACAACAACGTAAATGCCTATACTTTTTCTTAAATAAATTACAGAATGTATTTAAAAGTTCACAACTTTGCACATACTGTACAATGATACGATGTATATTGTCACATAGATTACTAACAGGAAGACTTATTATTGATCAAGCATGATATAACACAGCCAGCTAGGAATGATGAACGGGATATCAGCATTTCTGCCATGAAGCATCTTTAAATCAAGTTGGCCAGAGTAAAATCAACTTCGCGAGCCAAGGGTGTTCAATACGATCGCAAAGTTGGAGTAAAATGCACGGGTTACAAATCACGGGAAACACGCTTGTTAACACAACTGCCTAGCGTTGATAACATATCAAATGTACAAAGTATATATAATTTAATTACACGCAATTAATATTTTATATTACAATCATGTACAAAAAACTGAATACTACACTGTATAGTTGTTCTGTATCCATTCTCGATACTCCAGGGGTTAGGCCTACGACTCGATACTCCAGGGGTTAGGCCTACGACTCGATACTCCAGGGGTTAGGCCTACGACTCGATACTCCAGCGGCTAGGCCTACGACTCGATACTCCAGGGGTTAGGCCTACGACTCGATACTCCAGCGGCTAGGCCTACGACTCGATACTCCATGGGTTAGGCCTACGACTCGATACTCCAGCGGCTAGGCCTACGACTCGATACTCCAGGGGTTAGGCCTACGACTCGATACTCCAGCGGCTAGGCCTACGACTCGATACTCCAGCGGCTAGGCCTACGGCTCGATACTCCAGGGGTTAGGCCTACGACTGGATACTCCAGAGATTAGGCCTACGACTCGATACTCCAGCGGGTAGGCCTACGACTCGATACTCCATGGGTTAGGCCTACGACTCGATAATCCAGCGGCTAGGCCTACGGCTCGATACTCCAGGGGTTATGCCTACGACTCGATACTCCAGGGGTTAGGCCTACGACTCGATACTCCAGGGGGATAATCCAGGCTAGGCGTACGACTCGATACTCCAGGGGTTAGGCCTACGACTCGATACTACAGGGGTTAGGCCTACGACTCGATACTCCAGGGGTTAGGCTTACGACTCGATAATCCAGGGGCTAGGCCTACGATACTCCAGGGGCTAGGCCTACGACTCGATACACCAGGGGCTAGGCCTACGCTCACTTATGTTCTCTGCAGAGAGCGAAGATGAGCGTAACCCCTGGAGTATCGATGATGCACTGTATCTTGCTCACTTTTGAATAAATTGCTGTAATATTACTTTATATTGAGTGTTTACATTAATGAATGTTATACAGGAACATTTAATAAATTGTATTTTCTTGTTATACTTTGCCTTTTACCTTAATAAAATAGTATTTATATATATCAATTTTTATTAATGGATCTAACACTCAAAGTGCAATATTATTCCGTTCATCCATTGATGTATATTTTCATTATAGTTAACCACTATATGAACACTACCAGAGACAGATAATGTTATTAGACTAATGACCGCAATGAGATCAATGTCCTTTTAACATTTCTCCTGTCTCTTGCAGAATCGATGGAGGGGGACCCGGGGGGGGGGGACGGTGACAGGATAGGGAAAACGGGGACAGGATAGGGAAAACGGCAACAGGATAGGGTAAACGGCGACAGGATAGGGAAAACGGCAACAGGATAGGGAAAACGGCGACGGAAGACAGGATAGGAAAAACGGCGATAGGATAGGATAGGGAAAACGGCAACAGGATAGGGAAAACGGCAACAGTATAGGGAAAACGGCAACAGGATAGGAAAAACGGCAACAGGATAGGAAAAACGGCAACAGGATAGGGAAACGGCGACAGGATAGGGAAACGGCAACAGGATAGGGGAAAACGGCAACAGGATAGGGAAAATGGCAACAGGATAGGGAAAACGGCAACAGGATAGGTAAAACGGCAACAAGATAGGGAAAACGGCAACAGTATAGGGAAAACGGCAACTGTATAGGGAAAACGGCGACATGATAGGGAAACGGCGACAGGATAGGGAAATCGGCAACAGTATAGGGAAAACGGTGACAGGATAGGGGGAAACGGCAACAGGATAGGTAAAACAACAGGATAGGGAAAACGGCAACAGGATAGGTAAAACAACAGTATAGTGAAAACGGCAATAGGATAGGTAAAACGCATGTACCAGGAATATCGTTTGCACTCTGCAATACCACAACTATTATGGAGTTTATATACTTAAACCACCAATAGTTATGCCTTTATCATAGTGTAAAAGGCAAGGCATTTTTTATTGTATATATGGCTGTAAGAACGCAAATATGTAACATCTATATTTAACATGAATTAAGCTAATACTGCCGTCACACCGGACTGGCGTCCTTACCGCGTCCTAAACTGTCATATTTTGGAGAACGCCGATGGTCGCAAGGAGAACGCCAATGATTTTTCTAAAATAAATCCAGATTTCGAGTCAGCCGTCACACCGGAGTTCTGTGCTCTGCGATCTGTGTATGTACACGGCGTTCCCAACACGACCTTACCGCGTTCTTACTGCGTCCTTGGAGTTTCTATTGAGTTTACACGGCGTCACTGCGGCGTCCATACGGCGATCAGCGGCGACCC